TCCAGCTTATGTACCAGCCTCTTATGCGGTACTGTGTCAAAGGCTTTCCGACAATTCAAGAAAATGCAGTCCGCCCAGCCCTCTCTTTCTTTGTTAAACTTTGTCACTTGGTCGTAGAATTCTATTAAGCCAATCAGGCAAGATTTATCCTCTCTGAACCCATGTTGGCGATTTGTCACGAAGTCCCTTCTCTCCAGATGTGATACCAGGTTTTTTCTTACGATCTTCTCCATCACCTTGCATGGTATACAATCAAGGACACTGGCCTATAGTTCAGTGCCTCTTGCCTGTCGCCCTTTTTGTATATTGGGACCACATTCGCCATCTACGATATTTCTGGTAGGTCTCCCGTCTCCAGTGACCTACTATACGCTACGGAGAGTGGTAAGCAAAGTGCCTCTGCACACTCTTTCAGTACCCGTGGCGAGATCCCGTCTGGACCAACAGCCTTTCTAACATCCAGATCCAGCAGGTGTCTCTTGACCTCCTCTCTCGTAATTTCGAACCCTTCCAAGGCAGCCAGGTTTACTTCCCTTTCTCCTAGCACAGTGACCTCACCTTGTTCTGTTGTAAAGACCTCCTGGAACTTCTTGTTGAATTGTTTACACACCTCTTTCTCATTCTCTGTATACCTGTCCTCACCTGTTCTAAGTTTCACTACCTGTTCTTTCACTGTTGTTTTCCTTCTGATGTGTCTGTGGAGTAGCTTTGGTTCGGTCTTGGCTTTGTTTGCTATATCATTTTCATAACTTTTCTCTGCTTCTCTTCTCACCCCTGACATACTCATTCCTGGTTCTCTGGTTCTCTCTACTTTCTGGTGTTCTGTTATTCCGGAAGTTCCTCCACGCCCTTTTGTTCAGTTTCTTTGCTTCCATACATGCCCTATTATACCACGGATTCTTCTTTTGCTTCTCGAATTTTGCCTTTTGGGCCGGGATGTATCTGCTTACTGCCTCCTGACACTTTTGGGTGACATAGTCCATCATATCTTGTACAGACTTAGCTCTGAGGTCTGTGTCCCAAGGTATTTCCCTTAGGAAGCTTCTCATCTCCTCATAATTTCCCTTTGTGTGTGTGTGTGTGTGTGTGTGTGTGTGTGTGTGTGTGTGTGTGTGTGTGTGTGTGTGTGTGTGTGTGTGTGTGTGTGTGTGTGTGTGTGTGTACTCACCTAGTTGTGCTTGCAGGGGTTGAGCTTTGACTCTTTGGTCCGGCCTCTCAATCGTCAATCAACTGATTTAAAGATTCCTGAGCCTACTGGGCTCTATCATATCTACATTTGAAACTGGGTATTTAGTCAGCCTCCACCACATCACTTCCTACTGCATTCCATTTACTAACTACTCTGATACTGAAAAAGTTCTTACTAATATCTTTGTAGCTCATTTGGGTACTCAGCTTCCACCTGTTTCCCCGTGTGTGTGTAACACCCATGTTAAATAATCCATCCTTGTCTATCCTGTCAATTCCCCTGAGAATTTTTATGTGGTGATCATGTCTCCCCGAGCTCTTCTATCTTCAGCGACGTGAGGTGCAGTTCACGCAGCCTGTCCTCATAACTCATGCCTCCTACTTCTGGGACTAGCCTAGTGGCATACCTATGAACTTTTTCCAGCTTCGTCTTGTACTTGACAAGGTACGGGCTCCATGCTGGGGCCGCAAACTTCCAGGATTGGCATTACATCTTTGGTATACAAGGTTCTGAATGATTCCTTATGCAGGTTTCTGAAAGCAGTTCTGATGTTAGCCAGCCTGTGTGCGCGCACGTGTGTGTGTGTGCACGTATGTGTTTGCGTGTTTACTAGTTGTGTTTACTAGTTGTGTTTTGCGGGGGTTGAGCTTTGCTCTTTCGGCCCGCCTCTCAACTGTCAATCGACTGTTTACTAACTATTTTTTTTTTCCACACCACACACACACACCCCAGGGAGCAGCCCGTGACAGCTGACTAACTCCCAGGTACCTATTTACTGCTAGGTAACAGGGGCACTTAGGGTGAAAGAAACTTTGCCCATTTGTTTCTGCTTCGTGCGGGAATCGAACCCGCGCCACAGAATTACAAGTCCTGCGCGCTATCCACCAGGCTACGAGGCCCTCTGCGTGTGTGTGTGTGTGTGTGTGTATTCAATTATTTGTGTTCACCTAGTTGTGCTTGCGGGGGTTGAGCTCTGCTCTTTCGGCCCGCCTCTCAACTGTCAATCAACTGTTTCTTCTACTACTATTTTTTTGTTTTTCTCAACATCACACACACACACACACCAGAAAGCAGCCTGTGGCAGCTGACTAACTCCCTGGTGCCTATTTACTGATAGGTAACTGGGACATAGGGTGAAAGAAACTCTGCCTATCGCTTCTCCTCGGTGCTTGGGATCAAACCCGGGACCACAGGATCACGTGTCCAGTGTGCTGTCCGCTCGGCCACCGGCTCCCTTCTGAGGAGGGATTTATGTGTACTCACCTAATTGTGCTTGTGGGAGTTGAGCTCTGGCTCTTTGGTCCGGCCTCTCAACCGTCAATCAACTGGTGTACAGTTTCCTGACCCTATTGGGCTCTATCATATCTACATTTGAAACTGTGTATGGAGTCAACCTCCACCACATCACTTTCTAATCTCTTGAGTGTGTGTGTGTGTGTGTGTGTGTGTGTTTGTGTGTACTCACCTATTTGTGCTTGCGGGGGTTGAGCTTTGGCTCTTTGGTCCCGCCTCTCAACTGTCAATCAACTGGTGTACAGATTCCTGAGCCTACTGGGCTCTATCATATCTACATTTCAAACTGTGTATGGAGTCAGCCTCCACCACATCACTGCCTAATGCATTCCATCCGTTAACTACTCTGACACTGAAAAAGTTCCTTCTAACGTCTCTGTGGCTCATGTGGGTACTCAGTTTCCACCTGTGTCCCCTTGTTCGCGTCCCACCAGTGTTGAATAGTAAATAAATAATAAATAAATAAATGTTTATTTAGGTAAGGTACATACATACAAGAAATTTTTACAAAGATTGGTTGACTTATAGGTAGAGCTAGTACATACAATGCCTAAAGCCACTATTACGCAAAGCGTTTCGGGCATTTTTTCTCAACATCACACACACACCAGAAAGCAGCCCGTGGCAGCTGACTAACTCCCTGGTACCTATTTACTGACAGGTAACTGGGACATAGGGTGAAAGAAACTCTGCCTATGCCATAATAGTTTATCCTTGTTTACCCGGTCGATTCCTCTGAGGATTTTGTAGGTTGTGATCATGTCTCGCCTTACTCTTCTGTCTTCCAGTGTCGTAAGGAGCATTTCTCGCAGCCTTTCCTCGTAACTCATGCCTCTTAGTTCTGGGATAAGTCTAGTAGCATACCTTTGGACTTTTTCCAGCTTCGTCTTGTGCTTGACAAGGTACGGGTTCCATGCTGGGGCCGCATACTCGAGGATTGGTCTTACATATGTGGTTTACAAGGTTCTGAATGATTCCTTACACAGGTTCCTGAACGCTGTTCTGATGTTAGCCAGCCTCGCATATGCCGCAGACGTTATTGTTTTTATGTGGGCTTCAGGAGACAGGTTTGGTGTGATATCAACTCCTAGATCTGTCTCTCTGTTCGTTTCATAAAGTACTTCATCTCCTATTCTGTATCCTGTGTTTGGCCTCCTGATTCCACTGCCTAGTTTCATTACTTTGCATTTACTCGGGTTGAACTTAACAGCCATTTGTCGGACCATTCACTCAGTCTGTCTAGGTCATCTTGTAGCCTCCTACTATCGTCCTCAGTTTGAATCCTCCTCATAATTTTTGCATCATCGGCAAACATTGAGAGAAACGATTCTATACCCTCTGGGAGATCATTTACGTTTATCAGAAACAGTATAGGTCCAAGGACTGACCCCTGCGGGACTCCACTCGTAACGTCTCGCCAATCTGAGACCTCACCCCTCACACTGACTCGTTGTCTCCTGTTGCTTAGGTACTCCTTTATCCAATGGAGTACAATGAAATTATTAGAGGCATCTACGAATCAACAAGGTGCCTATGGAGGGGAAAAATCGTCAGGATGAGTAGAATCTAAATGATGGAGGTCAAAGTACTTATTCCACGTGGCAGGACCAAACAAGGCATGGTTCGAATTAGTATGGGAAGGGAGTGTTCGATAGCTCACAAGGCCCCTACGTGGTGCCCTTCTGAACGTTCACCACCAAAAGAGGGGCCAAGGCACCCCTCACCGGTCCTAGGGAGGTGTGCGTGAGGCGCTCACCACGTCAATGTAACATCACGGAGGGGATATTCTGAATAAGGCAATTAGGATACTAGGATTTATTTCTAGAAGGAATAGCAATAAAACATGGAATGTTATTCATACGCTATATCTTCCTCTTCTTAGGATGGATGTGATGGATGGATGACAAAGTTAATCCCTGAAGTTATGAACCTTCCATTTGAAGAGCCATTGAGCAAGACTAATTGTCATCATCTTACAAGGTGAAGAGTTAGGGATGACATGAATGAAGTGCACAAGTGGATGAAAGAGCATAACAAAAGGATATTAACAAGCTATTAAACATATAAACACAAAACAGAACCGGAAGCAATGGATATAAATTGGATAAATTTTGATTTAGGAAAGACCTGTGTAAATACTGGTCTGGAAACAGGGTTGCTGGTTTGTGGAATAGCTTACTGGGTAACAGAATAGACATGGGATTCCTAGATTGTTTCAAGCATTAGACACTTGTGAATAGTTTTGGATACATATAAATAGGATGTGCCATGAATGACCCAATAAGCCTCATGCACTTTCCTTAATTGCTATACCCACTTCCAAGGTTTTTCAGTATTTGAACTGACAGTCCATCTTCTGAATTAATTCACACGCCTCTTTTCGTTAACTATTCCCATTCACATAAAAAGTCAATTCTTGAATACCATTCCAAGAAGTTGTTTCAACAGCGTAATGGTGTTAGTTTAAGATTGTTAATAATTACAAGCAAACTACGCCAGTTATAACCGTTGACCTGACCTTACCTAGCCTGAGCTTGGTCTTCGTCTTCATCATGAGCACGTCGACAGGGTTGCCAGGGGACACGAAAAACTGCTTGGACGCTGTTGAGGAGGAATCAAACTGGTACTTCCAGGTGCCCTTGAAGTAAGCAGCATTGATGAGGAGCATGACAGCGTACACCAGGTCATCAGGACTCAACAAGGTTGGGATCTTGCCGTTAGTGGTGTTGGATACAAACGCGTTGATTGTGGCCGCAGATTCTTGAAGCTGGCGGTGAAACAATTGCTCAGTGACATTCAAAGTGCAAAATGATTAAGATAAGATTTCTTCACAAGAGAGAGAGACGTGTGAGAGTTTTGACTTTTATATTAAGTGGGAATAAGTGAAATGGTTGAGGAATTGAGCTCGGAAAATATCTAAGAATTTTCTTTATTCTTTAATCTTTATTCCTGTTGTTATTCAATTAGGTCGCCTGAGGAAGGACTTGCTTAGTTAACACACCAGTGTAGTAATCAGCTCATTCCTCACTCTGGGACCAGATATGAGCAATTGATTAGGCGCGAGCAAACGCCGAGACCCCAAGAGAATTTGAAATCCCCTCCACGAGTAGGTCCTGGGCTCTCACAACAATAATTTATTGTTGTGTGGTGCCGTATATTGGTCCAAAACCCATGAATCAGTCTCAATTTTATTAGTCGAGTGTGAAGAATCACTTGCAGGGCAATAATAATGTGTGGAGGTGTAACGAAAAGACAGTGTTCAGCATAACTTAGTTTATTCAATAAAGTACTAACTACTACAACAAAACAAAAGAAATATCAATGATGTTACTCGAAATCCATCCTGTGACACTGTCAATGACAGCTAGACACCAGCCCCTCGGACTGCATAATGAACTAACTCGAACATAAGCGTGAACACAGAGGACTCAACAAGAAACAAGAACTAACAGATCTATAATCACAATTTCAACAATTGACACAGTACGTTCTGAAACACGTCTCCAGTAACCTCCTAACTGTTCTTCGCCTCAGTACAGTCTACACCTGCGATAGCGGTTGCAATGCAATCAAATCAGTAGCCTTTCAATGACACATCAATGACTAATGGGTTCACGGGCAACTCCAGCACCCTTCCTCAAATTAATCCTTACGTTAACACTCCGTCCCACGGACGATCAACAATCAATAACAATTTGATTTACGTTAATAACAAAATAACATTTACGTTAATTTAATAACTTACAACTGTCACTAGTAACGCGGAAATTACACAACATACTATCCGTCGAGCATTCACGGAGAAAATCTCATTAATCCCTGTACTTTTAGACAGCTGATTAATCTCTTTACTAGTTACGTTAATTTACATTATCGGTTACAATCACTCAACGATGGTAAACCCTGATTTACAATGTCCAACGTGTTAAGAGAACGGTAATCACTCGTGATTACCTTTAGAGTAATTAATTACTATCCTCAAGATCAATAATTAAACAATTAAATACGCAACCTTTCACACTGGCTCAGCAATTTACATTAAGGTATGAATTCCGTCCGAGCCTTCCATACTCAGACCAATTCAGGTGGTTAATAACAGTAATTAGGCACCACGTTTACGTTATTCTAAAATGACATTACTCCTCCCACGAGTCAATCAAGTGCCGGTACTTCCGGACAGATAAATCACGACGTTACGTTAATAGAACAATGTAGCCTTCATGTGAGTCGATCAAACAAGGATCGAGTTTAATTACTTTGACTTCCTGAAACACGTCAATTACCCGGCCCACTGACCGTTAATTACGACAGACAATACTCTAATTCTTGCCTGGCTGATGGCTAGGCTCCCTGAGACTACCATAGCTGCTTGCAGGAGAGTAAATTAACCCAAACGTATTCTATGTTACTCAAATTGTCAAAGAACAAATTCTCTTAAAGCAATGGGCGTTCCCTTGGTTACGTTATATTAATTGCCTCGCAATCACCTCACTGAATACTGGACTTCGATGTCCTACCAGATAAACAGGAGAATATAAAACCCAAGTACTCGTCTACAGCCGAGTTCCCCCACGACAATGGCAAATCAACTAACAAATCACAGTGATTTACGTTACAATCCGGTTGCAATGACAATACTGCAGAACCTAGTAAAATAGCATACAGCACATGAACTCTCTAGAACACTGCCCCTCAATGACTTTACTGAACTGCAATCACATACGGTGATTGCTCAACACTTGCAACAATCACCATCAATGACAACCCCTTTGCAATAACACACACGGCAAGTACTCTAATTTCCAAGTATTAGAATACTGCACACACTTACTTACTGTTGCAAATGACTAACAGTGCGCTCTAAATAACCCCTTAGAACACAGGTCCACACATTGCAATCACCACATTAAATTAAATAACACAATAACACTGGGCACCGTGACACTACGATCATATATATATAATTACTGCTGACACATGTAGCCTACAGCTATCAAACGTTGCTGGGTACAATAAGGAGATCTCGCACTCCTTAAATCACCTGGGTGAGTGATTTATAGATCCTGCAGGCCGATAAACACTCCCGAGAATTACGTTACGTAAAACCAGAAAAACGGCCAGCCTACTCATGAGAAACTCTCCAGACACAAAACAGAACGCTTTAAAAGAGACTAACGTCGTCTATGCCTTCAAATGCCCACTTGGGGACTGTAAGCTCCAAAAAACCCAGTATAAAGGCAAGACAACAACATCTCTTTCTAGGCGTTAAACGATGCATAAGCAACAGGGCTCCATTAAGGAACATATAATCTCTTCCCACAACCAAACCATCGCCAGAGAAATCCTAGTAAACAACACAGAAATCATCGATAGATACAGCGATAGCAGGCGGCTTGACGTTTGCGAGGCACTACACATCAAGAAGTCAATACCAGCAATCAACAGCCAATTATTGCACAACTATATTCTACCCACCTCAAGACTCCGCTCCAATATAGAAGCATCAAGAAATATGGACCAATAGGCTTTCTACAAACACTTCTATTCAATATCCATTGTTTCGTGTTCTGTCTTGTGTTGATGAAATTAATACCCTATTAATACTCTTGTTCTGTCTTGTGTTGATGAAATTAATACCCTATTAATACCACACTTTGTTTTAATGCCACATCACCCCTTCCACCTCACTCAAATGTAGATATAAAATCGGAGATACGTAAGTTCTATTCAGTTGTGTATTTGTGAACTAAAGTCTTTGAAAATGTAATAAGTTTTACGAAACGCGCCCGTGTCGCGTCAGACTAGAAATAAAAATGAATTTTGGAGAATTGATTTTTGATTTACCTCCAACAGTGAAGCGTAATGTACGAAAGATTGAGAAAATTCGTGTTAGAATTATTAATCTTACTTTTTCGGTCATATTTAATAATATATATATATATATATATATATATATATATATATATATATATATATATATATATATATATATATATATATATATATATATATATATATATATATATATATATATATACAACTTTAGAACACTTTCCCACCAGGAGACTCGAACCCTAGCCAGCACAGAAACCTTCCAGCAACTGGCATAACAGGTACGCCTTAACCCTCTCCACCACCTGCTCAGACCCTTAGCAAGAGCACTAGAGCAAGTGAGGGGTCATTTAGACGTTAATTTCATCAAGTCCCTGTTAATATGGGAAGACACAGTGTCTATGCTTAAGGCACAACTCTCCTAAACACGAGAGTGAAGTATACAACTTTAGAACACTTTCCCACCAGGAGACTCGAACCCTAGCCAGCACAGAAGCCTTCCAGCAACTGGCATAACAGGTACGCCTTAACCCTCTCCACCACCTGCTCAGACCCTTAGCAAGAGCACTAGAGCAAGTGAGGGGTCATTTAGACGTTAATTTCATCAAGTCCCTGTTAATATGGGAAGACACAGTGTCTATGCTTAAGGCACAACTCTCCTAAACACGAGAGTGAAGTATACAACTTTAGAACACTTTCCCACCAGGAGACTCGAACCCTAGCCAGCACAGAAGCCTTCCAGCAACTGGCATAACAGGTACGCCTTAACCCTCTCCACCACCTGCTCAGACCCTTAGCAAGAGCACTAGAGCAAGTGAGGGGTCATTTAGACGTTAATTTCATCAAGTCCCTGTTAATATGGGAAGACACAGTGTCTATGCTTAAGGCACAACTCTCCTAAACACGAGAGTGAAGTATACAACTTTAGAACACTTTCCCACCAGGAGACTCGAACCCTAGCCAGCACAGAAGCCTTCCAGCAACTGGCATAACAGGTACGCCTTAACCCTCTCCACCACCTGCTCAGACCCTTAGCAAGAGCACTAGAGCAAGTGAGGGGTCATTTAGACATTAATTTCATCAAGTCCCTGTTAATATGAGAAGACACAGTGTCTATGCTTAAGGCACAACTCTCCTAAACACGAGAGTGAAGTATACAACTTTAGAACACTTTCCCACCAGGAGACTCGAACCCTAGCCAGCACAGAAGCCTTCCAGCAACTGGCATAACAGGCATTCTGGCATTCTGTGCTGGCTAGGGTTCGAGTCTCCTGGTGGGAAAGTGTTCTAAAGTTGTATACTTCACTCTCGTGTTTAGGAGAGTTGTGCCTTAAGCATAGACACTGTGTCTTCCCATATTAACAGGGACTTGATGAAATTAACGTCTAAATGACCCCTCACTTGCTCTAGTGCTCTTGCTAAGGGTCTGAGCAGGTGGTGGAGAGGGTTAAGGCGTACCTGTTATGCCAGTTGCTGGAAGGCTTCTGTGCTGGCTAGGGTTCGAGTCTCCTGGTGGGAAAGTGTTCTAAAGTTGTATACTTCACTCTCGTGTTTAGGAGAGTTGTGCCTTATATATATATATATATATATATATATATATATATATATATATATATATATATATATATATATATATATATATGTCGTACCTAGTAGCCAGAACGCACTTCTCAGCCTACTATGCAAGGCCCGATTTGCCTAATAAGCCAAGTTTTCATGAATTAATATATTTTCTCTAATTTTTTTCTTATGAAATGATAAAGCTACCCATTTCATTATGTATGAGGTCAATTTTGTTTTATTGTAGTTAAAGTTAACGTAGATATATGACCGAACCTAACCAACCCTACCTAACCTAACCTAACCTATCTTTATAGGTTAGGTTGGGTTAGGTAGCCGAAAAAGGTAGGTTAGGTTAGGTTAGGTAGGTTAGGT